TCGGGACTTATTTCAATAATTCACTTGCGCGTAGGGGTCTTTAGTAGTGGGAGGTTGGGCAGGAAACCCTACTCCTTGTCACGTACAACCGGGGAATCGAAATCACGCCAGTTGACTCAATGACAGATCTTATGATACAGCGTGCACGTGTTAAACATTCGACCATCCAACCCAACAGCATATGAAGGATTTAGTATATAAAAAAGGAGCGCTTTAAAACACGGTGTCTTTAGACGATCGTGTGGTTGTCATATTCTCCCTTCCACAGAATAAAATTAAATTAAAACAAAAGATCCAGTTGATGTTAGGTATCAAGTGGTGTACATAATACCGGAACGGGGTTCACGGTGAAGACGCTGGCTCGATGGCCTGGAGGTCGGTTGTTCGATCCCTGCATTGGCCGAGTAAGTTCATCCAGATTTTGCGGCGTGGTTTCCCCTTGTCAATGATGCAGGACAGAGGGCCTGACAAGGGCAACTGTCTAATCGTTCGGGTGGGCCACAAACCAAGGTCCCATGTACACATTGACGTGCACGTAAAGATTCCGTGACAGTTGGAATTCGATATAAGAGTTGGGATCGAACACGGAACCTCCAGTTTAGCGAGCCAAATCGTCTTACTGAGCCACCGTGCCCCCCCCCCCCCCAATTAGTAAAGGATCTATTAACCCTATGGCGATCCCAAAACAACCATTGCTCAACTACTGGATAGTGACGTGTACAGGGCATGGTATGCTAACTGTTTGTAGCCTACCTGATGTGGTTAATCAATAAGTCATGAATTCGACAGGGTTATATAAATCTAGTACTGATTAACTAATGATGTAGGAGGGGAACGAGCACGAGGCTTGGTATGCTTAATCTTTTTAGACCGGCCGATATGGACAATAAATTATTGATGAATCTTCTGATGTTTAATGTCCACCTGACACAAACTAGGACATTTCGGGACTAGCGTATGGTTCAATTTTATTTCAATAATTCACTTGCGCTTATGGGTATTTAGCAGTAGGAGGAAACCAGAGGACCCGTAGAAAACCCACGGGGTTGGACAGGAGACCCTACTCTTTGTCACGTACAAGCGGGGAATCGAAACCATACCACTTGACTCAATGACAGACCTAATGATCCACGCACACTCGTTAATTATTTGGCCACGCAACCCTAAGTTGGTGACGTACACGAGGCTTGGCATGCTTACTTTGTAAAACACACGATGAGACTAATTAATATGTGTAGTTGCATGGCATGTTACTTCTATCCTAAACCAACTATCGCTCAATTGAGATGTGGTGGGTGACGTACACGAGGCTTGGTATGCTTACTTTGTAGAACACCCGATGGGACTAATCAATTTGTGTAGTATCGTTTAACCTTTATATTAACATAAGTGTGAAGGTTAACGGGTAATTGATGAACTTGTGTGTACATCTGTTAAACCTATCACGTGATATATATAGACTAGCGGTAGATAATGACGAGGTATTTACAGGGTTTTTATCAGAATAATAAGGAGAAGGCTGCATCAACATAAACACCCGATCCACCTTAACATTCAACAGATGGTCAAATGCACCAGAAACACAGATAATAAATTACCTGAGTAAATTTACTGAAAATACTCTGGTCAAATGATATATCTGTCCGTAGAACAGTGAACTCTACTGTTAAGGATCAGCCGGGATAACCAATATGGATCTACTCTTTAATTAACTAAATTAACTAAGAAAAATTAATTAAAAACCTTTGTCTATGGAGTTGAACTCGTACATGTTAGAATGTTGGTACATTTTGATGTGTCTGTTTTAGCTAGAATGTTATACATTTTGATGTGTCTGTTATAGCTCAATTTGGTGGCTATTAGTTTTACTTTGTGAATTGATTTTTAAACAAAATGCTGGTGGTTTCGAAAATTGACTATAAGGATACATCTATATAGAATCAAAATTTACAACAAAAACTTGTTTCTTTCTAACAGTCTATTGGACAAATAGTGGATCAATCTGAATAAAATACAGATCTATATTTCGTTCCGTTTTTTTATACTTTCTATGGTCTACACTATATTTAGTGAAGACAAGTAAATCGAAATTGTGAACTATAGAAAACGAAACGAAATAGGATATATATTTTAATCAGATTACTAATAATTAATGTAATGACTGGCAATGACTTATACCCATAAAGTTATAGTAACATTCATTCCGATCTCGTTCACACATTTCTCAAGCACCTGTAAACGTTATTAATCCTAGTAGACTTTATTTATCTCAAGTAGCCCAAAACGATCTGACGTATATCTAAATATAATCACGCTCAAGAGTTAAAAATAAATCCGTAAGTTGCTGCATAAACACTTTATCTATAAATCAGCCAGTAACATGTTACGTGGGCATGGTACGTATTTTAACAACAATCCATTGTTTACTGGTTGTATTTAACATTTCTTCTACACGTGCCAGTAAATTCTAGTATGACATACAAGGGATCAACGAACCAAAATATATGAAAGCATGTTATGGATATATCAGAAAGCCATATCCATTAAATGATCGATTTCCGGGGGGTGGGTGTATGCAACAGCCCTTAATTTCAGCTGATACAAACATCGGAATAACGAGCCAAATGAAGACCTGTAGAAGATGTATACAGATTTCCACAATATTAAATACCTTTCTATAATACCTCGTTTCTTATCAATATGAACCATGCAATCTCATTAAAACACAGATCCTATTTCGTTTCGTTTTTTATAGTTCAAAATTTCGATTTATCGATTTACTTGTTTTCACTACATGTAGTGAAGGCCATCGACAGTGTAAAAAAACGAAATAGGATCTGTATTTCTTATCAATATAAACTACATTGATGCTAGCGTCTCTTTAGAATTTGGTCAGGTTTCAAGGTATCAATACGATTTGATAGTTACATAACTAAATATGAAATTGAGCCAAAACGCATCAATGGTCTGAGTGCTTAACTCTGCTTAGGATAAAAGCCACAATATTACTTAGCACTTAAGGGCCGAAAAGTATCATTGGCTTGTTTGAGAAGGCCAACTTTGCCCAGTTCACATATGACATATTGTTATTATTATATATTTAGAATAACCTTTTCGGATTGGCAGCCCATCAAATACTTTTTTATATTCTCTCTCACGTTAAATTACAATATATTCGTATTGCGTTATTAAAACATTTTGTCAGGGTAACAATCCGATGGGATAAATTCACCCAGATGTAACACTGTACACATCGGATGAAGCTTGGACGGAAACAGTGCTATCCTGTCAAATTTCAAACCATAGACCAATTAAATCGTATAAATAGTCTTAAAGTGAACGAACTATTGAATCGTTGAGATGTAGTACTCTGTGTTGGAACCATACTCTGAGAACTGGGTTTTTTTCAACACAACACCTTAGTCATTATGGGACTAACAGAAGGTTGGTGTTTTTATGGTCACAAGATAAATTCCAGGGAGGGATCTAATACAGTTTCAATCAGAAGGACTTCCGCAACTCTACATCAAATTCTAACAATCAGGGACCTCCAATGCATGTCATCGGAACGGCTAGTCAACACTGTACGGGAGCTACCCATGACCAGGGGCAACTGGGCCTTGAAATCCCCCCAAGGTTCTCGACCTACACCTGATAATTCTGACTGAGAGTGGGGTTTCCTCATCCGTATACTACTGCGTCACCTCCCATATATCGACCACTGCGCCCCCCCCCCCCGTCCCATCTCTTAATTGCTGGTCATTGTAAGACGAACAGAAGGTTGATGTTTCTAATGTCACATGAGAAATATTAGGGATTTAAAATAGATTTGGCCAGAAACGCTTCCGAAACTCGTCATCAAAATGAAATAGCCAACGGTTTATACTGCGTACCAAATTAACGACTAGTCAGCACTTTACATGTCAGCCCCCAGGGGCTACCCCTGAACAGTGGCAGCCGTTCTTTGAAAATCCACAGGTTCTCGACCTACGCCTGATATTCTAATCGAGAGCGGGGTTCCCTCATCTCTTGAGTACCGCGTCACCTCCCCTCTCTCAGTAGTCCAGTTTGCCAGCATTAATTTAACAATGGCTTGTATTATAAATCTCGATTATCCACTTTAATAACTTGTATTATATGTCTCGATTATCCACTATATCGTTAGATTTTAAATCTCGCGGGTATTCCGATCCATTTAGATCTCAGCCATTCGATGCCCTAGAGAGTAGATTATGTTTTATTTTTATGTGAATGCATGTCTATAAAATCATTTACATATTGATTTGAAGCCAGCAAAAAGACTTGCCATAGTTAGCTGTTACATAACGTATCTTTAACTGACCTTAATTGTACAGTCGATCCTAATGTACTACAAAATATCCCTGAAACAATGGAAACGAGCATGTTCAGCTCATTCACCGTGTCTAAAGCGTTCGCTGGTACAAAATAATTGACATGTTCTCTGGTGCATTTATGTCGTAATCACGCAAATGGGCATTGATTAAGATATTTGAAAATGTATTGTTCCTGTGCGGCATAGCATACAAATTATAAACTGAAATCTCGAGGCAATTAAACGTACAGCGAGTACGACTTTGTTAGAATCTGAAAAGGATGTAACTTCGTTATATCCGTAGTATTAGTCTTGACAATTATAAACTGTGAACTAAAATAAAACATTTCTTGTCCGCTGACCCTCGTAATCGAACTCGGATTTTTCTAGTAGACAGTATAGCATTCTTGAGGAGCCCAATGACCAAGGCATTGGCTTCCTAACTCGGAAGTACTGGGGTCGATCCCGATGTGAGCCGAGAAAGGTTCTCTTGATTTTCAGGTTTGGTATGCCCCCCCCCCCGCCCGGTTCAGTGATGCAGAGTGAAGGGTCTGGCAAAAGTCTAGTTGTTCGGCTCGAACAAAAAACGAGTTCAATCCATTTATTCAGTTTATTGTACATGAACAATAATTAACAAGTGTCTGATATGAATAATAAACCAACTTACCTTTGGTGGCATTTTATCCGCTGTTTTCAGACCAACACTAGTAAACTGTTAGTTATTAGATATATACACACGGAATGGCTAGTCTGATATCTGACGTGCAAAACACACCATCTGGTCAAATAGGAGGCACCTTACAGATAATCAACGGGGGTGCAAGGGTTTCAATATTGGTTATTTAAACTGTGAAATCTGATCATTTTCGATAAAATAATATAATTAATAACCACTAAAACCTCTATTCTACTTTCAATTTGTTAAATATGACAACAATCTGTCCTTACTATGAAATAAACATGGCCTCGTATACACCTGTTACCCTCCACGGGTAATAATGAACTCAACCGGTACCATCTTCAGATAGAATCTATTTCTGGCGTTTAAAAAGATTCCGAAGGCGTACACGGGAGGGGAAATACGTTTGCAAAACATACTTGGACCAAAAGTAAGAAATTTGATCTGTTTTAGAGAGGTGTTTGATGTAGCGGTACTATGTATCGTATCTTGGGAAATAAATGAATGAAAGAAATACATTCTAGCGAATCTTTTAGATTGCAATCGAGCAATAAATATGCAGGTAAAAGGTTAAGAACGCATCGTGTTTATATTCCCTGTTGGTTATCTTGAATACGATTCATCATGATACCTGCTTTATTTACAAAACTATACACCTTTGATACACCTTTTGTTTATGACGAAATGGGGTTTAGCGTCTCACAGCGCACCTTTGATTTATATATAGACTATCACAGAAAGGAATTGGGTTTTACGTCTTTTTTTACGGTACACCTATAACACACCTTTCATTCAGGTGAGGATTATCAAAGAATAATGTTTTAACCTTGCATACACCCAGGTAAAAATACATGCATTAAGCGAATGGGGTTTAACGTCTTGTAATGGCGTTGCTACTATAGATCAACATTTCACGTCTACGTCTAAGTCTTGTATTGACGGTACGCCTATAGTACACCATTCATTTAGATATAGAATATCAAGAATAGTGTGTAAACGTCTCGCGTTGACGTTGCTACTACATCTACGTTTATGAAGGAATGGGATTTAACGTGCCAGTTTAAACATGCGCCTATAGTGCACCCTTGATTCAGACATATACTATTATAGATCATTGTTTTACATCTACTTTTATACGTCATGATGGAATGATGTTTAACGGTTGGATCGCCTGTCCAACCTCGTGGGGTTTCTCTGGGTCCCCGGGTTTCCTCCCACCGCTAAAGACCTCTACTTGCATGTGAATAAATGAGATAAAATTGAACCATATGTTAGTCCAGAAATTACCTAGTTTGTGTCGAGTGGACGTTAAACCACATTTCGCTCTCTTTAAAACGTCTTGTGTTGAAAGTACGCCTATAATACACCTTTGATTCAAATATATAGACTATCAAAGAATTATGTTTTAACTTTGTGTACATCCAGGTAAAAATACATGCATTATGGGGATGGGGTTAACGTCAGGTTTTAGCGGTACGCCTAGAGTACACCTTGGATACAGATATTGACTTATAACTTAGTGTACACCCAGGTGAGTTTCATGGTTCCGTAACATAATACGATTTATTTTTCGATGTTCTACTCAACTAACGAACAGAATAGGAATGGGGGGGGGTGCTACTAATCGCCGACAAGAAGCGACCGCGACTGACAAGAGTTGGCGTGTCCCCTTTAGCGCGCTGCATAGAATATTTCAGTCTTCATCAACCTCAAAACCTCAACCCCAGTTAATTTACAGTTGGTCTAATATAGAATATAAATATCGAGAGACGATGATTCATGCGATAACAGTAAACATATATAGGATGGGCTTGTATAAAAACAAACCATATCAAATATATATAGCACTCCATTACACCTTTAGAGGTGTTATATTTTTAGCATCTTCAATGTGTATACAGAATTAGGATGTTTTTGCTTAAGTTTATTGTTTTAATTTCGCATATAAAAAAAAACGTTGATTTCATGGATCTGTTATTCTGGACCACACATCCGCCGATTTCATTTTGATATTAATCTGGATTGTGTTATAAAACTAAAGGTGTTCAAGATAGAATTAATTTATGCATTTATTGTTTTCTTTAAGACAAAATAAAATCTAGACACTTGCAAATATGAATGGTCCATATTTTTTTTTTCTAAATTCAATAATTACAAATATTGCAAGATATCTTATTTAATGTCACAGGGGATCACGTGGCTAAGTGGGTAAGACGCTGGCTCTCTAGCCTGGAGGTCGGGTGTTCGATCCCTGCATTGGCCGAAAAAGTTCATCCAGATTTTCCGGCGTGGTTTCCATCGTTCGGATGGGACGAAAAACCGAGGTCCCGTGTACATATTGGCGTGCACGTAAAAGATCCCTTGGCAGTTGGAATATGATATAAGAGTAGGCCGTAGCGCCGCTGCCCGGGCAAAATTTCCCTCATAGCACACTGTATGGCGTATGCCCGTCTTCATTATCCCAGTTTAGGATAACAGTAGGACGTTAAACGGCATTTCATTTCATTTCTTAATGTCACATAAACAAAAATACTTTGGTCATTGAGAAAACCATTCAATTTATATTTATTTACTATCGTTAAATCTGTAAGGCCTGGAAAGAATTTACTTCAGAACGACAAGGCATTCCCATCAGGGCCATCTTAGCATCCCAAGGGAATCTACTTGTCGGGAGCTAGTAACCTAACCGCTTGAATGTTAACGTAGTTCGCCCCTTGTTACTGATGCAGGACGGAGGAATTGACAAGTACTGTGTATGGTCGTTCAGATGGGACGTAAAATTAAGGTCCCGTGTACTGTTTGCCGTGCACGTTAAACAACCATTGATAGTTTTTGCACACTGTATGGTGTATGCCCATCTTCATTAGCCCACTAGAACGTTAAACCCCATTTTGTTAACATAGTCTGAGTCGATGTTAATCTAGACCGGAGGTCTAACGGGGACCATGGAATTTCCTGTGTAATATGTCCGCAATTTTTTCAAATTATCACCCCCAATATTGTATGTTATATAGCTGTATAGTGAATAATCTGCTGTCATTATATCAACCCTCTATCAGTATGTACCCTTTTATATGTTATAGTTATACCTACACTTGTGTGTATATATATATCACATACTACTTCATTTACTTCTTGTTTTAGATGGAATACTGAATATAAACACATTGGAGGAAAGATAAAACGGTTGTCGAACACACGATTACCCACTCGTTCAAATCCTGTCGCAGGTTGAACCGTCTTAACATATAACAAAACAAACTCGGGGCGAGGTAATGTTTACTTATTTCAAATAAACAAATATTAATCTACGTATTTAGTGGGACTGGGTAATGGATACATACTACTGAATGGTATCCATTAAAACTCTACATATCAGTTTGCCAATAAACGTAACCGTCACTAAAAGAAGTCAGTAATCTAATTGATGGTGAATGGTAAAGCACAGTACCAGTAAGCCAAATAATACATAATATATATCATACAAAACGCAATACTCCATTAGCTCTTTATGTTAAATATTATGTTTATTGATAACTTTTCTGCTTCAAGCGTACTATCATCATGGCACTGGATCATATCACAGTCAGTCTGTACAAGCGACGCAGAGAGATATATTGGCCTACACGTTTTTAGTGGCCATTAACAGTTTGGGGCCGTCTGTGCCAGTCTGTCTGCCGTAAGTTCTCAGTGTATTTACATTCCATTTATTAAATGGTGGTAATGGAATGTAGTAGACTTTACATGCATTCAGACATCTACTAGGAAAAAGTGATTGCAGCTGGAAGTTATTCTTGCCAGTTTAATCATTACCGTAGACCTGCAGGTACGGAGTCAACCAGGCACAGGGTGAAATTAATCATTACCGTAGACCTGCAGGTACGGAGTCAACCAGGCAAAGGGTGAAATTAATATTATCGTAGACCTGCAGGTACGGAGTCAACCAGGCACAGGGTGAAATTAATCATTACCGTAGACCTGCAGGTACGGAGTCAACCAGGCACAGGGTGAAATTAATATTATCGTAGACCTGCAGGTAGACCGGCCTACTCTTCTATCGAATTCCAACCGCCAAGGGCTCTTTACGTGCACGGGACCTCGATTTTTCGTTCCATCTTTTAAGACTGGCGGATAGCTGTCCTTGTCGAGCCCCCCGTCATGCACCACTGACAAGGGGAAGCTACTCCGGAATTTGTTTTTAAATCTGAATGTAGTTTATTACACACCTCTTAGTATAGATTGAATCGTATTACTCTTTGTAAGCTAGGGTTATTTATTTTGATGTATGTTACATACAACTCGTTCTATATTGTTATTTAAAGTAGCTAAGTCTCTAACTCAATATCATCCAAAGTCATACACGTTGATATCCAATATTTAAGACAGAATAAATATTTTACCATTGGTACATGAATCGTGTACCATAGTGTGTTTTAGCGTTATTTGCAACAAGTGACCAGAAAGAACGAGGCTAGACATATTCAACTGGAGAACCTGCTTAATAGACTAGAATAACCAGACGCTAGAAATTGCTATAGGGTTGAGACAAATATTAGCGATTTAGCTCCTTTAATATACGGCAATATTAGGATTGCTGTAGCATATTATGTGCGAGCAATGACGTAGAAGGGTGGGGATAAGGCCAACGTTATGATCACCTGAGTGAAAGCGGTAAACCTTTTTTAACATCCGCGTGCCGATAACCCTGGCTATATACCTACCGACATTCGATAAGAAGCACAGATGTAAATGCCATCAGTGCTTACCACTGTTTGGATAATAGATACTATATTGCCACACCCCCATCCTCGTCGATTTATTCAAGTGATGTGCTAATATTGAATGTAAAACAAACTTGTTTTTAAAGAGAATCCTTGTTATTAAAATATGGAGGCAAGTCATTAGTTAAGGGAACTAAACCTTTTAAATCAATCAACATTGATGTTATTATCTTGCCGTGGGGTCCTAATTTGTAAGGCACGGTTAACCATTTAAAATCAGTATACTATGGACATGACGGTTTCGACCAACATTTTTAATGAAAAACAAAACATACACCAGAAGATAATCCGGAAGCAATTAAAAATGGCGGATTCACAAAAATAAAAACAAAAGTGTAGCATAGACTGCTGGTGCAATTGA